GGTAATATCATATATGGCATACATTCGGTTGAAGGTGTGTGCACGGAAAATAGATTGCGGATAGGATTTTAATAGATAAATCTGCACAAAAAAACACAAAAGGAGATTTTTGTATTTCCCTGAAGAATATCTCAAGGTTATTTCAGATGTACTCATCGAAACTTTATGAAAGGATTATCGAAACCTTATTTTCAATTGCGATAGGGCCACATACCTCGACATCGCATTAATGTGAAAAATAAGACAATAGAAAAAAATTCCCTCACTGATGCTATCTCTTAGGAAAAATTTAACTATAAAGATTGCACAAAAATTTTCTTCACCTTTTTGAGCTTGTTTTCGCATCTCCGTATATGCCGTTCATAATTTGCTGCAGATCAAATTGGAATATACCTTTGTGATGCCATTTATTGTTATATAATGTCCTTTACAACAGTTATTGCACGTATTGCACCAACAGATTGATTTGTGATCCATGCGAATGTGATCAACCACTCTGGCGAAAACTCGCCGAGCGTGGCAACCGTGCGACTTTGTCTGGAGGCTCGTCGCTACAAGCCAATCAGGAAGAGGCCGACAGAGCGCCATGGCTACCGATCACGCGTTGAATCACGAATCAACCACTGTTTACGATTACTTTGTAGCTTCGTTAGATACACTTTAAACCATTAGGTTGAGAGCTGTGATTTTTTTGAAATGAGCTAAATGGTTAGTTTTAGTAATAGTTGGGGTTGTGCTTCATAATTCATTTTATTGTAAAAACTATTTCAATCCATGTAGAAATTTGGAAATTTCAGCTTAAGCAATCTGTGCTTGACGCAGGTGGGTATCTCTACATGTAAACAAGAAATTCTATTTAACGAGCTACAGTCCAAGCGACTTCATGGATTTTGACATATGAGGTACTGTTAGATTCGTTGTAGCAGTGCGAGTGATACTGTGTATTATCACTTTGTAAAATCAAAATGGCAGATTTTTTACGCAAATAGCCAAATCAGCTTAATGAGGTTGAGCATTCAACTCGGCATTCCAGATGCGGGAGCGTTCAATCTTCGGTCCGACCGAAGTTACTAAGTCAGGCAATGGTCCAGCGCGGAATTTGTATCTAACGTTTGGCATTTGAGTAGAATCATGTTATATTCTGCGCGAGATTATGCAGAAATGCATTACTATTATGGTGCTGCCCTAAGAAATGCTCGAGCAGCTGCTCGAATGTATCGGCAGTACGTGGTTAGAAGAGGTGGACCACAACCGGCGGTATATTCCGACTACCGCGTTTTTCTACGCGTCTATAATGCTTATATGGAGGGCCACATACTAGGCACTCATCGTCAGCTAGGAGCGCCGAGGATACGCCCAGAAGAAATAGAAGATAATTATAATAGAAGCAGCCGAGAGAGATCCCTCTACAGGGTGTCCCGAAAAAAGTGTGCAATATTCTACCAGCGGTTTCTAGATCTTAAAATAGGAAGAAAAGTTTATATAAACATAGGTCGACAAACGACCCCTAAGGGCGCTACGGTCTTTTAAAGGTGCTCCCCTGAAGACGGTTTTTCCTTAATATTTCCGAAACGTGTCGAGATAAAGACATAAAATTTGGTACTCTAGCCTAGTTTTTTATGCTGAATTTAAAAATATTATCAATTTGAGACAGTTTTGTTTGGAAGCGTATGTAACCGGGACGGACTCAGGTTATTTTAGCCCCAACATTTTTGTGTGATTCTATTTTTGAAATTTAATTTTATAATTTGAAAATTTAGGGTTTTCTACATAAAAGAGGTACTCTCATTGAATATCGATAAATTGTGCCATTTTTGAATAAAATCGAACTAAAAAATTTGTCACATGATAGGAAATGCACTGCGAATTTAAATGAATTGTTGAATAATTAGCCATGTCAACAAAAATACTAATTTAATAATTGGTAAATATTACATAAATACTTATTTCTAATGCAACATAGCTAACATTTAGGCAAAAACAAAGGAAATAAATTTTTTCTACGAACGAAGTTGAAATTTGTTTAAAAAAGAAGACATACAGTTGGATATACTTAAAAATAGCTTTACAATAAGTGTTCAAATAAATTCCCATTTTGTTGGATACAGAGTCTCGCTCGACGAACTAATGATTGCGTAGCCCGAAAAGTGGAAAACCTTTTTCTTCTTATTTCATTTGCAGCCTGATGGATTCTTTGAAATAAATCTTCTTGAGTATTTACTTCGTCGAGTAAACTAGGTCTTTTAATGACCCCCAAAAATAGAAATCCAATGGACTTAGGTCAGGTGAACGTGGCGGCCACGCTATAGGACCTCCTCGGCCTAACCACCTGTCTGGAAAATTGACATTCAACCAATTTCAAAAAACATATTTTCTTGAAACTGCTGGCGCACATCCAATGGTATTATATCCATGAGCTCATTCTGAAGAAAGTTCAGATACGCCTCTGAATCAAGACGATTGGGAAGTACGATAGCCCCAATTACTTGATCCCCAATTACTTCTGCCCATAAGTTCAATGAAAATCTATGTTGGAAATTTGTACGGCGAACAACTTTTGGATTTTCATCTGACCAGTGATGCATGTTATGGAAATTAAAAGCACCATTCCTAGTAAATATTGACTCATCCGACCATAATATTCTAGGAATAGTGTTTTCCTTTGCTAATATCCACTGTCACATACATCGGCTATTTTATTCGCATTCACTCACATCATGTTGACAGGCGCTTTCGACAATAAGTTTGTTTGAGCTCTTTGACATAAAAAAGGAACATTATACCTTGATGTTAGTGTGGTACCAGAAACTGTATTTGTGAAAGTATTGAAGGGCAGTCTATTAGATTATGCAGTACTTTATATAAAACTATAACTGCTGATTGCTTACGCCATTGTTCTAAGGATTGAATGCCAAATTTATGAAGAAGGATGTTGTATTCTGTACCTCTAGTAGGATATATGCCATCGATCTTAAAACATGAAAATTTTAAAAATTTCTTTTGAGGTTTATCAACAACATCAATATATTGCTTGTAAATCGGACTCCATATCTAAGATCCATATTCAAGCTTAGACCTAACCAAGCTAAAGTATAATGTCTGCAAAGTCAAAACGTCATAAGATTTACAATTGCTGATAACGAAGCCATAGGTTCGGTAAGCATTTGAAATGATTTGATTGATATGCTCATTAAAGGTTAGATGTTGATCAAAGTAGATACCTAAGTCTTTCACAGTTTCACTGCGCTCAAGAATATGTTCGATCATTGTATAATTATACACCAAGTGGTTGGTTTTCCTTGAAAAAGTTACTACTTTACACTTACTTATATTAAGATGAAGTTGATTCTTGGCACACCAGCTTTGCAATTTATTTATTTGACCTTGAACAAATGCACAGTCTTCCAAGCATGAAACGGATGAATAAAATTTTAGGTCGTCTGCGAACATTAACTTAGAACAAGCCAAAGATTCACACAGATCATTCACAAACAATATGAACAAGTGGTCCTAAATTCGAACCCTGTGGTAGGCCACTGGTTGAGACGTAAACATGTGATATGTAGCCATTATAAAAACCATACTGTTTACTTTCAAACAGATATGTATGATGTTAAGAGCGCTGAGTAAACGTTGTTGAAGCCCAGGTACTCAAGCTTTCAGAGCAAAATACTGTGGCTGACCCTATCGAAGGCCTTGGAGAAATCGGTGTACACCACATCTACCTGTCCTCTATTGTCTAATCTATCGCACAAGTATTGGCTAAATACCATTAAGTTTGTTAATGTTGAACGCTGCCTTATAAAACCATGTTGATCGATGGAAATATTATTTTTAGTGGACAGGTATATGCGGTTGTACAGTACGATCTCCAAGAGTTTTGCAAAATTATTGAGTATAGATATAGCCCTATATTCACTGCTAGAGTGATAATTTTTTGACTTTGGAATTGGGCAAACTTTGTCAATTTTCCATTTATCGGGGAAAACAGTCGTTGTTAGGGTTAAATTGAAGATAACACGTAAAGGATGAACTAATTTCCTGATACAATCTCTAACAATAAAAGATGAGATTTGATCAGGTCCAGCAGTCAATTTACTTTTAAGCTTTCTACAGGCCACTAAAATTTCCTCATCTGATATTGGCTCACAACTAATGTCGACCAGTCCACTATGACTGAAATGAAAGTTCAACTCAGTATCGATATCAGCAGTTGAGTAAACTCTGGAGAAAAAATCAGCGAAGGCGGATCACCAAATGACTCGTTACCATACAGCATTCTATTGGGAATCCTAGAAGTGTTGTTTTTACTATGTACGAAAGACCAGAAAGACTTAGGGTCATCATTTAGCTGATTTTGAATGGTTTGAAGATAGATATAATATGCCTCTTTGGTTGTAAGCTTAAATATTTTCCTGAGTCTGCCGAATTCTTAGTAATCTTCGTTAGCACCAGACCTTTTAAATTTTTTGTGCGCCTTGTCTTTTTGTTTTACTAGTTTTATAATTTCATTGGTGTACCAAGAGGGATATTTATGCCTGAAATTTTTATATTGTGGAACGCGTGCATCAAATAACTCGTAAAGTTTGATATAAAATGCATTAATTGCATCATTTGTGTCACTAGTGTTATCCAAGAAATCCCAATTAACCAATAACAAAGAATTATACAGCAAAAAAAAGTTAGCACGTCTAAAATTATATCTTTCTTGGCCAGTACTGACTGTGACGTATTCACTCTTTTTGCAGACAGTTTTTAATGTTAAACACAAAGAAGGATGATACACTTCTTCATCCACTAATGGAGCTAAATCTCTATAAACAATACAATCAATGTTACTTATTACTAAGTCTAGGATTCTATCATATTGGTTATGAATATTGTTATACTGCAAGTGTCAGACGTCTAGGGGGGGCGCCCCCCGCGCCCCCCCGCGGCCCCCTTAGATCCGCCACTGGTCTCGTTCAAAAGCTGATGCTCAGTATACAATATTTTGTTAGGGCTAGTAGATACTAGCACAGATAGCAAAGACAGTCAAAGAAGAAGTGTCACGTCACTAAACATTCAAAGTCATTATCACAACATGTCACTCAACTAATCTAAATTCAACATGCAAAATTTTTCGTGAAAATTTAGCTGTGCGACACAGCCCGGTTATTCTTCCATCATCATGAAACGATCATCGTTAAGAAACTTAATTAAATATTGTCGTTACATCCACAATATTCCTACACCAATTCGATATTCCAAGCCACGAATTCCAAAGGGAGATGCAGGAAAGCAAAAGCAAGATAGAGATATTCGGATTTTAGCACGAATAGGACTAACGAGCATCTATGCGATCATAATAAGTTCCTATCTTTGGGTAAAAAGAAACCATGATGATAGTCCCATTGAAGATGAGTACTATTTGGGTGTCAAGCCGGGATGCGAGTTCAAGGATTTAACGACGAAGCCTGCTTCAGCTGCAATTCAAGGTACTACTCGTTCTCCTCTCGAAACTACTCGGTTTATTTTTTGTGACATTCAGATGAGGTGTCCTTGCGAGTTTTCCAACTCGAATGTTCTTTCATAATCACTTTTGTTGTAGCATGAATTGATAGGTTGTAGAGCAATAAGGTCAGTGTTTCTAATCGCGGTTTTCGGCACTCAAAATTCAAATTTCAAGCTGATCAAATCTATGAAATATTTCCATTTAAATATTTGATTATACCTGCTTTTATAAGTCACTCGGGTCGAGTACCAAAGATGCAATAATTGTAAATAACCCCGTGGGGTAAGGCTATACTTTAGTGCATATCGCAAATATGTACTTCATTTCTTACTTTAAAATGAAAGATTATTATGTAACTTTTACGAAAATATAATTTTTCCTTGCTATTTTCTAGAACTTCACAGTTGCATTTTTTGTGGTAATACCTTAGAATAGAATACTGTTTTATATGCTGTCTGTCTTTTTTTGCTTTTTGCACAGAAGGATGCTCTAAATTATAAGAATATATAGCATACACAGGATACTAAGGAAAATAGATGTGAAACTGTAAAAAGTCGTTGTTTTTTGCAAAAAAGGTTCAAAACCAGCCGTGTTATTACACATTAGCTTATTAGCTAAACTAACAGTTCACAATACATACGTAAATGATGGTATTTACTTGGTAAACTGAACTGTATTTTCAATGAGATCATAGTGTTTGCGTTTATACGAAATATTTGAAAATACAAAAATTCTCGATGGCCATTTTATAACGTTCATTGCGTGACAGATAAGATAAATGATGTCCATTGTTGCCAAGTTGTAGTTTTTTTTGAGAAATACGTAATAATAAATGAGGTTATTTGCAAAATAAAAGTCTTAATTTATTGTAAATGGCTTCTTTTATGAGAAGTTGTCCCAATATTTACCGAAAACTAGATGAAATTTTGAACACTATGTGTCTAAACAGTAGAAAATGCACCAGCGGTTAGCGTGACATAAAAAAATACACAAGGCACCAGCGGTCATATAAAAATACCCAACTTCGGTTCGTCGATTTTGACCAAGCGCCAGGTCCACCCAACATATCATCGTCCAACATTATAGTTAAATAAGGAACGACCATTTCATCAAATCATCAGAAACTTGCGTTATTCTTTGTTATGTTTTCATTATTTAGTGATTGGCAACAGCTAATTTTTCAGTTATTTCTCATATATACGAGTATATACAGGGTGGACCATCCATGTGTGGACGGAATGTTACTCATAAACAAATACATTTTGGGAAAATGTATTTATGGGATGTTATACACGACATTTAAGGGCACATTTCGAAAATATTGGCTATTATACAGGGTGTCCCAATTTCGACCTACATATCAAAGTTCTGATTTTTCAAATAGAATGCCTCAAATTTCATTGCATATTTAGATAAACCAATTCAAAAGAAGAACACCTCAACCTTTATCTTATTTGTTACTTTTTCGAATTTTAATTTTTGCTCATACAGGGTGGTCAAAAACGCAAATTGTAGTTTTTTCTCAAAAGTTTCAAATGCATCACCCTGTATATTTGTGCAAGTTTGGATACAGTTTTTTATAAGCTTTTTTTGGATACTAGACACAAGGGTTTTTACGGCTATTTTTTCGGTTATTAGCACGTCTTTTATGGAACGGCTTAATTCCTTAACATATCGCATCATCCTTGGAAACAAATAAATTGTTGATTAGTTACAAACTGTCTAAATTAGCTTTGTCAGCACTATAATAAAAACGTGTTTTTCTAAAGAAGAAATGGTGAATATGGTGTTCGGTTTGGGCGAAGCCCAAAGAAACAGTTTCCTAGTATCTCGCATTTACAAGCAACGGCACCCTAATATGCGACATCCAATGCCGGAAACATTTTCCACACTACGAGAACATTTTGAATCAAGTGGAGCAGTGGAATATAGTGAAAAATGTATAAATAATCCCAGTGTCACCAATGTGGCGAATCAGTTGGAGGTTCTATTAAAGTTGCAGGAAAATCCCCATTTAAGTGCACGGCAAATTGGAGCAGAAACTGATATATGCCGAACTTCTGTCCTAAAGATTATTCACAAGCATAGGTACCATCCATATCACCTATGCTTGCATCACGGCATTTGTCCTCAGGATTTCGCAGCTAGAATGGAGTTTAGTAGAATAATGCTAATTAAAGTGAGTGAAGACACTACTTTCCTGGATAAGGTTCTTTTTAGCGTTGAGGCAACTTTTAACAGCATAGGTGTTGTCAACAGGCATAACTTGCACTATTTTGCGATGGAAGACCCTTACTGGGTTAGGCAAATAGATTTTTAAAATAAATGGATCTTGAATGTTTGGGGATGAATTATTGGCAAACAAGTTATCGGGCCTTTCTATTTCGGCAACAGATTAACAGGTGCAGAATGCTTGAATTTTTTGGTCGAGCATTTGCCTTTGCTTTTGGAGGATGTCAACCTGCAAACTTGGATGCATGTGTACTTCCAACATGACGGCGCACCTGCGCATTATCATAATCGTGTGCGTAACTATTTGGACACCTGGAATAACAATTGTTGGATCGGTCGTGATGGTCCCATATCTTGACTTAAAGCTGATTTATACTGTTCTGATTGTTATTAGTTTTTACGACAAACCTTTTTTCTTAGTTCTAATATGGAACTAGCCCACTGTTTGTCTATTGTTTCCATGGATGAAGTGATTTCTTTCCTTAATTTTGGTGTATTGTTCTATTAAAAGCTTAATAACTCAACATCTGGTGATTTTATCTGAATCAAACCTTATAGCAAAAAAAGCTTATACAAAATTGAATTCAAGCTTGCACAAATATACATAGTGATGCATTTGAAATCTTTGAGAAAAAGTACAATTCGCGTTTTTGACCACCCTGTATGAGCAAAAATGAAAAATCGAAAAAGTAGCAAATAAGATAAATGCTGTAAGTTTTTTTGTACAAAATTCAGCACTCCAAATTTCAAAATGGTGGATTGAGGGGTTGCCGTGTGCGGTGGGTAGTTTTTCTGGACAAAACACCTTATATCTCAGTAGCTAATTACCAAAACCCCATAGTATGTTATATCAATCTTCTTCTTTTGAATTGGTTTATTCAAATATGCGATAAAACTTGAGGCATTCCATTTAAAAAATCACAACTTTGATATGTAGGTCAAAATTGGGATACCCTGTATAATTCCTAATATTTTATAAATGTGTCCTCAAATGTCATGTACAACTTAGATATAGATTTTCCCAAAATGAATTTGTTTATGAGTAATATTCCGTCTACACATGGATGGGCCACCCTGTATATTTATTCATATATATCACATTTAATTAGATATATTTTGTGACAGCTCCGTCACTTTAAATAATTCTTCTAGTACATACATACAAAAAGTAAATAGATTATAACTATAATATAGGAAAAACAATAACCGAAGTACTTTTGTGAAGGGCATAAGGCATTTTTCAAAAAAGTGCCCAAACGCTATCGTAGGGCACGAGGTGGATTTAGTACAGTAAAACCTGCCGGCCACACCTCCAAATCGCATTTTCCTGACAATCCTGTGCCGCACATCCTAATCTTTCATTTTAAAATAAGCAATTAAATATTTGCGATATGCGTTATAGTTCAGCCCAATCTATGAGGTGTGAAATACCTGTATGTCTAACTGGTACGGAAAATTACCGGAGTTGGCCCCCTACAACCTCCCTCTCCCCCCAATTTTTTACCCCTAAACCTTTTAAGATATTCTGAAACGTCGAAAAACGAAGTTTGTGCGATTTCTATTTTTTCTTTTTCGACTTATTTCTTCGCCGCCACTGGTCGGATTTTGAAAAACTACAAAGCGTTTTCGCCCTTGGTATAGTAGTAACCTCGTGTAGAAATTTCATCCAAATCCGAGAAGTACTTTCCAAGTTATAGGTGGGCCAAGCATTAGCCGACAGACACACCAACAGACAGGCGTGGGAAGTAAAATGTCCTAAGTAACTTTTCCTTAAAAATGATCGTTTTCGAGCTATAAACCATTTGAAGTCTGGAAAACCCTAAAAATGGCCATCTCAAATACGTGACAACGCGGCTGGAAATCATAGATCCTGTTATTTCTAACTCTCTAATTAAAGCCCAAACCTACCCCTACAAGACCTTGAAGAGTATTCTGAGCTTAGTTTATTTAAAATGGTTCCAAAAATCTAAGAAATTTAATTTTGTCTTGGTGGAAAATCTATTGCAGAAGCTTTGAGGTTTGGAATCATTCATTTTTTACTTCCCACGTCAATTGGTGTAATCGCAAAAAATGTCGATAAGATATCATGGTATTATGACAGAAATACAGGGTGGCCGAAATGCAACTGACTGGTTTGTATTTTGAATATTTGTGAAATGAAATAAAATACGTCCATTTTTTTCATCTTAATCTTATATTTGTGAAATGAAATAAAATACGTTCATTTTTTCATCTTAATCTTCTATTGAAACTTAGAATTTATTTATGAAAAATAATATCAGACAAATGTCCTCCTCTAGAAAGGAAACGATGGTGGGCTGGCCATAGACGGTGGTCGGCGCTACTAAAAGAGGAAATTTTTATAATAACAGAGTCGGATTTCGATTGGCGATCTAGCCTGTAAATCCTTCCCTATTTTGGTACTCAGCAAGTGATCATTTACTACTTTTCTCCCCTTGTTACTGTTCGTCGATATTGTGTTGTTGAATTGTTGTGCTGTACTCTTGTTGGTGATTGTTCTTGAGTGCCTTTTTTTATCAAGGTTGATAATGGACAATAAAAGGTCATATGCGACCATTTTAATTACGAATGCAGTGAGTTTAATTCATGATGAGGTCAACAATAGTGTGGAGCAGTTCAACTCTATAATCGCAAAATACATTGGGGAGTAAGCGAATAAATTATTGCAAGAAGAGGTCATACCATGGAAGATGTGCTGCAGCTGTAGTGAGCCACAATACCCAGCGGCCT